CTGCGCCAACCCCAACGATCGCGAAAAGAACATAAATTTCTGCATAGTGGTGAACGTCGTGGTACGACACCTTGTCGGCCAGGATTTCGCTATTCTTTATCATGTCCAGCTGTTGCTTAATATTTGCCAAACGAAGATTGCTATCGGTACTGTCTGATTCATTACTCGGTATGGATGTATCGGGTAAAGAGATATTAATATAACGATTGATAAGCGAAATATCGGGAACCTCCAGCGCCGAACTTGTAGCCAACTTATTTTCATTTTCCTTATGAGAATAAATAAAGAAATCAGCTGTCTTGATAATGCAGCCTTGACCAACTGTAAATATGCCTGATTGGGTCAATTGCACCGTAGTAATCTGATCGTCGCATATCAACTTCATTTGACACCGCTCGCAGCACGTATAAAAATAACTATTTAATTTACTTAATTCTATCCATTTATTATAACATAATTTTGTAACTGTTTTGCAAGTGTTTTTATGTGGGATAGTTTCACATAGACTTTGGTCGTTCTTGATATGATAAATAGGGCGTCTTATGTGACATAGTACTACAAAAGAGTCTCTACGTATACATGTATCCAAATTGCTTTCTATCAGTGGCACATAGGCGTCCTTTCTTAAGTTTATTGCATTTTCTGGGCATTCGTCATAGATGTGTTATTGTGAATAATTTCAGTAAATAGATCCTTGAACGAAACCCAGTTGTTATAGTTACCATGGAATGTCGGGATTTCCATCTGTGGAGTAGCCTTTTCCATGTGTGCCACTGACCACATCTTTTTGTTTATTAATTTCTTGATGTTATAATATGTTTTCTCATAACTCGAAAATGTATCTTCGTACTCCTTGTTGGAGCCTTCAAGCTCGCTGTCTAAATCCCAATGTAGGGGGTCTATAGCCGCCCAGCGAGCTTGCAAGGTTCGTAATATGTCATCGAACTCCCACTTTTCCGAAACAGAAGCCAAGTCTACGTTGCTGATGGTACGCTGGAATGCTTTGAAATTACTGCTTTGTTTTTTCAGCATATCTTCAGTTTTACTTGCCGTTCCTCTTGATGACGGTTGAGGCTGTTGACTTTCGTTGGACTTACCCGTGAACGTTGGCGGTTTCACGATAGGCGTTGCTGGCCTATCTGCTGCTACAGGCTGATAATTGTGTATATGTAACCTAATCGATTCGTATCTCTCTTTTACCCGTTCATACTCATTGGTGAGAAAATAACTATGGGACTCCATACCGAGTTCCGGTAACTTTGCATGGTTGGTACGGAATTCAGTCCAATAGTTATCCAGGATGTCTAACCTACGACGTGCTCAATTGCTTTTGCGATTTGCTGCTGGTTGGACAAAATATTTTCCATTACGGACATGTTAAAGAATAAAAGGACTGATCTTACTTGATATGATCTGCTTGCCCTTGACTGCGTGCGACTCCACCCTTGCTTGGACCGACTTGAGACCTTGTTGTCTCAAAACAGTCGAACTGCCTTGTTACTTGTTGATCCTTGATGATGACCACCACAAACTTGAAGCTCACTCTTGATGACGATAGGCTCAGTAGTTAAGACTATCGATAGCAATACGCACAGTTATTGGTACACGTATGCACTTGCACTTAGTTCAATACGTCACGTTGCGAAACGAGTGACACGAGTATAGTTCACCGAACTCAAAACGCGTCAAGTCCCGCCTGTCACGTAGGCTGCGAAGGACCAATGTTCGGGATGTACCGAAACTAAGATACTGATAAAATGATAAACTTGATAACTTGATAATAAAGTATATTTGGTAACTAAACAATAACTTAAAACAATATTAATTGATATAAAAATTATTGTTATGAATGAGTACGCGCACGGCTTACTTGATAGCTAATTGCGAACTAACTTGTAAGTAATTGACGATTATTGAAAATAATAAAATAAGGTCAATTAGTAAAATGATGAGCGGGCGAAATGTACGTAGCTTGCTTAAAAATGATATTTTCAGGATGAAAAAGTGAAAAAACACTTTTTTGAGACTTTAGCGCCACCTACAATGCGCATTTTTTGTTGTACGAGATTGCAACAATGACATAAATTGTAGTACTCAACGCCCTCTACAATTATGGTCGAAAAAAAAGTTTCTAAACTACCCTTTAGGTTTTTTTTTCACTGAAACGATATTTTTTTCGACAGATTGACTGTACTAATAAGCCTAATTTAGTCATATGATATAGCATGCAAAAGGAATATTTCCAATTCTTTTTGTAAGAAAAACAATAACAAAGTAAAAAATACAATTTCATTAATAATCCGTAATAAGAAAAAATAAAATGTTATACGTTAATATTCAATAAGATAATAATTAATACCAATACATGCATCAATTCATTTAATAAGAATAATATTTTTAATATCATTTATAGTTTAAATATTCGTCAATTGAATAGAAAGCTTTTGCCTTGTTAAATGGGACAATTTTTTGTCATGTGGTATTTTATTGTATATAAAATTACACATTGCGTAACTATTTTTTAAGAAACGCTTCGTCTTTGGATTTGTGTCAAGACAAACAAGTTTGTGGGGATATCTTAGACTTCTGGCAGTCACTTCAATACCATCCGCCAAAAAAACGGTCACCAATGTAATAGCCTGCAAGGTGCGGAGGTTGGTGCAGCAGTTTATAACTACTGTTAGATATATGTTACGCTCAAAAACCAAAAACGCTTGTTATTGTTGCTCACAGCGTGTTGTGGTCACAGTGAAACATCCACACAGCGAAATTCGTATTATGGTTCTAATGAAAACGCCCACGACTCGTGGCAATCACAGAAACACCACACAGCGAAATTTACTGGAAAATCCGCTATGGCCCTACCTCTCCTAAAATAAATAATATTAAGAAACAAATATCTTTAACCGTAATAAATCGTCGTCGTAGTGATAGTAAGTTATTATGTCTGAGTTAAGGTCTTTGCACCTGTTCCAAATATACGAGCAAAAACTTAACCTAAGGTCACTCTGTAATAAATATAGGGTGTGAGTAAGTTCTGCATTATGTGACACCTTTTTTCTGTCCGATTCTAAGTGAAACCAAAATTAATGGTTAGTTCATTTACTAATGTAGTATTCTAGTACTTGGTAACGACTTTATCAGCAAGTGGTGAAACAGACCCTTAGGGGGCTAGTTAGCGACCGGTATTCCGCCGGGTCTAGGCACGGTTTCTACTCAAGCCGGTGCCAGCCAAACCGTCGTAGCGCAGGAGTTTTTAACAAACCTCCATACTGTACCATTCTGTCCATACTTAGCTGACAACCGAACGTAGATACGGTTTAAAACCCTGCATAGACCCGGGTAGAAATTGTCTCGGTAATAAGCGCCCTTAATCTGTTTTCATACATATTTTATTTTAGTACCTAATGGCTACGAAAAAGTTACCTGTATTGCAGTATTGAATCTGCTAAGTTATATAAATGAGTCGTATATTATATCAATGTTGTTATAAGTTAAAAAGATCGAGTTTACTAAATAGAGCAACGCATAGCACAGCGCAACATGGCCCGATGTCGATTCAATATTTTTTTAGGCTCCCTTAAAGCCATGACCTAGACCAACAGATAAAACCATTTTCACATCTATATATTCTTAGTGGAAAAGTTGGTTTCCCATATAAACTTCCACTCTACCTTTTTACCCCCTTTGAGGACGATTTCTGCAATAAAAACTGTTTCTTCCTTCCCAGGATACTTTAATCCAAAGGAGATTGCTCAAATTGGCCCAAATGTACAAAAAATATTGACATATACGGTAATTCTTGGCGTAATTTATACTCTATTCTACAGTCATTAGATTTTAACGGACACCTTTGTATAATATATTCTTTTTAAAAAGTACTTTTAATTTTACCGGTTTGGAAAACAAACGAATAATTTTTAATGGCTTTGGGTGTAGTAACATTCAGCCAAAGACTGATCGAAGTTGTTTATATAACATCAAAACAAATCTATTTTGTAAAGATCGATAAAATAAAACATTGTTCTTTATTACACTGTGGTATTAATATCCACAACTATATTATCATTTTCACTACATGCAAATGTGCTGTGACAATTATTATAGATGATAGGCGACATCATAAAGCCTATTGCCATACATTTTTCTCCAAACACATTATAAGGTGTGATGGTTATAATATAAACATAACAAAAATAATGAAGCTACTGAAGATATGGCTGTATAACCTAAATCTCTAGCTTTCTTTGGTTAACGAGAGTTTAATTTTTTTTTGTAATCTGTGGCTCATTTACAATCATCACACAGTTCCAGTCACAGAATACCTTATTATAACCGGAATCTGATTTTAAAAGTTACTCTTGTGCATTAACTTTAAAAACGGGCAACTATCTGTTAATCTACATGCTCTATATACCTGAATCTAATACATAATTTCGGTACTTGACTTGATTTCCCTAGTTTACTATAAAACTTATTTGTTTTCTATTATTTTAATACCTATTTGCAAACATTACCTCAAAATCATTCAGTGTATATGGTTTATAGAAGTTCTCAGGGGTGTCCGTCAATAATATTCGTTTCTATAGTAATTCATATATAATTTCAAATCTAGGAAACATTTTTACATGATTATTGGTCTTTAGGCCAAACATGTATGGAAGCTGAGCAATCTCTCTCAATCTCAATGAAAGTTTAATTGTGACAAGGTAACAGACACACAAACTTTCGTATTTTTAATATTACTAGCGGCCGCCGCGACTTCTTCTACGTTAACTAGTTTTTTGAGAATCCCACAGGAACCTAACATTTCTCCGGTATAAAAAGTATCCTATGTCGATATCCAGGTCATAAAGTACGCATACCTATGCGTACCAAATTTCATCCAAATATGTTCAGTAGTGTTGTGATTGAGTAACAAACATACAAACTTTCACATAATATATATTAAGTAGGAAGTAGGATGCTAAGTTAAATAGTATGGAAGTATTGATGGATACCATCCCAGACTTGTATGTGTTGCCGCACAGTGCTGTAAGGGTAGTAAGCAAGTTCCGTTCCCGAAAGGTTCTCCTCGGGTGGCAGCATCCACTTCTGGTACCAGGCGCAGCAGCTGATGCAGTACTTGGCCGGATCCTCGTGAGGCAAGCGGTCGGTCTTGTAGTGCAGCCAGCCGTACCACTCGGGCGTAATCTACCGAATGCGTATTATGATAAATTCTGGACAACCACATATTAATTAGGTAGGCCCAAAGTAAGAGTCCTATGGAAACTAAACATCATTACAGTAATATGGAAACTAAAAAATGTAGCAGCCTATGGAAACAAAAAAACGTAGCAGCCTATGAAAACTACACATTGTAACAGTCCTATGGAAACTAAACATCGTAAGTTTACACACAAAATCAGTGGTATCGTTAGTCCTCGAAGGAAAATTTTATTTAGGGAATGATTTAAAAAAAGCCGATCAAGGCGCCCTGTAAAGGTGCCCCTACTAGACTATATGCAGGTACGTGATGTTTTAAGCATAGCGAAGGTGTCTCTTACTCTTTACCAATCGATATTCAACAAAATTAGCGATTTGCCAATACCTGAAAATGTGACAGATAGATAAAGGATAGATTTAATATGGTATTTTAATAAATATGTCCGAATTATGGAGTTAGGCAGTGATTCGCACGTTCGGTCTGCGGTCGTAAAAGTTATACATTTTTCTTCGTGACCACTGTCATAGGATGCCTAAAATGTAGGTACTTAATATCTCGAGCTCCTCTTTGTCGGAAGGCACTTTAAGTGTAATAGCACACATATCAACTCGGAAAGGGATCGATACCGACTCGCTCGTTTGCTCGGTACGTGTGATCACGGCATTAGAGCTCGTAAACCGCTGGTTGACGGCTAGGCGGCACCAGTTTAATCAGTCATAGAGAAAGTAACCACTTTGTTTTAGGGGACGGCACTTCCTAACCATTTAAAACGGAGTGGTTACTTTCTTTATGGACAGCAACTCCAAGACGAGGCGAATACGTTACGATTCCGATTAGTGTGCGTTGCATTGGGAAGTTTTATACAAAGAATACAGAAATGCTCGGTTGATACGGTGGCGACACCTTTCCAAGCTGTTATGCCTACTACGATCATAAGCCGTTGGTCATGGCTGCTTCTGCACCAATCCGCAATGTGCCTTAACCCTTTCTCCTAAATCGTCCACAGGGGAGGTATACGCTCCAGCAGTGGGGATATTAATAGGCTAATGATGATGTTGTATAAAATAAATCAGTAGGTAGGTGAAGAACCTGGGTGGCGTCATAGTCCCATCTCACATAGTCGTTGTATTCAACCCAGCGCGAGCGCCCGAGCATGTAGTAAGGATTCTCGTAGTACTTGTTGCCCAGGGAATCGGTGCCCACCAACTTACCATTCTACAAAAAGACAAGTCTCTTATGAGAAATAATTTAAACTTCTTGTTAATTGTATTGAAAATACTTACCTAACCGCTAAACTGAGTGAAGTTTATGAACCTAAATGATTACATACATGTACATAAACATATAATCGTTGAATAGGTAGACTTTATTTTAGACTTTATAGGAAAACCAAAGTGCCTTTATAATTTTTAACTAAGAAGAGATGTATTTCGGGGCTAGTCTGTTACTCAAAGACATTTATATACTGTATAATATAAACGGGCCCTCACGAACAAATTTTTTATCCAAAATTGTTACCACTTAGTTAACAAATCATTTGAAGTTTAATAGTCTAGTACTGGCCGTCGGCGTGATAAACCTACCGTTTTCTGCAAAAAACAATATATTTCGAAGTAAATATGCCCAGTACCCTCAGCACGAACCAATATCGAATTCGAATAAGTTTGCGAGTTTAAAATGTCACTGTCAAATGAGTACTGATTTTTAGTTCTGGTTACGCCCGTCATGGTGCCATAACGTACGTAAGGAGAACTAAAAATCAGTACACATTTGACAATGACATTTCGTAATCGCAAACGATACGAATTCGATATTGGTTCGTTCTAAAGGCTCCAGATATTCCGCTGGCTTGGGTCATCGAAAATCTGAATCGCGTGTCTTTGTATAGAATCGAGGGGACCCAATTGATATTTTGGAGCTCCACAGAGATGTGAACAGGTGACTACTTTTGCTTAGAAGGTGAAGTACTGCATGGCCAATTAAGAACTCCAATCTTTTTAGAGGCCTGTTTAGCCCTGCCCTCTAAATAGTTTCTATACTGGACGTCACACAAGATATCTACACCTAGTATCCCAACGCTATTGGTATTATGCAGCGGGTCTCCTTGGAATTGTGGTGTGACAGCTAATGAGTCTTTCTTTGCAGTGAATGCGCAATCTTGTGTCTAGTTAGGGTTGAACGAGACGAAGTTCTGACTTTCCCATTTCGGAGACTCGCTCAAGAGAACCCTCCACTACGGACACGAGCTTAGTCCGCCATTTCGAAACTACAGCTCTAGGTATGTTTGGGTGGCTGGTATACCGCATCATCCACATAGCAATGCGACATGTATTGCTATCCAAACTAACAGAAAGTCACATGCAGGCTTAGATTAAAACAAAAAGGGTAGATACGGTACGCTCTTACTTGCATCAAACAAAAACTGATCCCACTTTACTACATATGCAACACTCACACTTCCACCTGTTTGTAAAGATACAATCGAACGAACGAAACAGCAATATAAGTTTCAACTGCAGCGCGAACGAGACGGCGAGATCCGCGTCACTGCGCTACCGACCAATCACGCGACCAGTACTCGACGTCACTACAGAGTAGCGTCAGAGAAAAAAATAAAAGTATTTTTTATTAAATATAAGTTTTTTATTCAAATTCAATAAAAAAAATCCACATTGAGCAATTTTCAATCTACTTTGAAAAGCTGAGGGAATGAAACTGTTTACAAGTATACCTATTAAAAGTAGGTTTTTTACATGATAACGTCAACATTTTTTTAAGGTATCTTATACTGCTGGATGTGGTCATTTTTATTGTATTCAGTGTTTAAAAGAATCTAATCGAGATACAATTTTTACTAGAAACTTTACACTTATTATATTTCAATACCAACCATTAACTGATTGTTCAATAAATAAAAAGAAAACTAAAATAATATTAAAAAAGTTAAAATCAGACACACATTATTATATCACCTGATAAAAATCAGTTAACAAGCGTACCTACTAAAAGTAGGTTTTTTATACGATACCGTCAACAATTTTTTAAGATACCTTGTACTGCTGGATTTGGAAATTTTCATCGTCTGTAGACGATTCTTTTAAATACTGTAGTATTTAAAAGAATCTAATCCGAAACACTTATTATATTTCTCTTCTAAGCATGAATTGCTTGTTTTATAAATCTAATCTAAACTATACTTTAAATTATTCATTTAAATAATAAAAAATATAAAGGTAAAATTAAATAACAAAAACAATAATCATCATCGATAAATAAAAATAAACATAAGTTATGCCTTGGGCTTTATAACAGAAGTAAAAATCTTACTAGGTACCTACCTACTGTGTGGCAATAGGGTTGATGACAAAACCTTTTTTTCTTCGTCGGCTAGGTAGATTAATAAAAGTATTGGACAAGTATTTATTTCTTATTCACATAATCAAAACATTACAGAGATATGTTGATATGAAATTTCCCATGACGTCACGTCTTGGTACAATTTTTACTTAGAAGTGACTTTACAAGCCTTCTCTCCCAAACTTTCACGCGCTCTATCCTTTTGGTATTAGTTTCCAAAACATAGAACCATTCTAAATCGAAAGAAGTCTTAAGGTACTGACAGGTTAAGGGATCAACCTGTTCGAAGAAACCAAAATGTAATGAGTTTAATAAATGCAGCATATTTTTTACCTACATAAATTAATATTCCAAAAAAAAATTACTAAATATTTTTTTTGTTGACTCTACCCAATTTTTACTCTCGACTGACATTACAATGGCAAATATTCGCGCTTATGCTTTTTCTCCCTCATACAAACGTTTACAAGTGTTGTTGTCTTTTTCTTAATAACAAATACCGAATAAGATTCAAAACAAACAGCATTTCTATGAAAAAATATATTTTATAGTACTTACGAATGAAAAGTGATGCCGTCGGTTTTATTTTTAGTACTTGAGCAATTTGAGCACTTTTTAAAACAACACTTAGGCATTGTTTTATCATATAAACACAAAATTTTAGCAATATTTCTTTTTGACGTTCACATGTACGTCATTTGCATGTCAAGTTGTGACTAAAGCGATTGTGGCCTTGGGCCACAATTTATGCGGATCACTTTTGTGAGGCTAGTGCCGTATCTACCCTTTTTGTTTTAATCTAAGCATGCAGGTCGCCATGTAATTATGTGTTTAAGGTTCGATTTGATAATGAAAAACTGACTAAATTGGAAGAATTATCCTTTAATAAGCATTACAGCGATTATTATAGGGTGGAGATGCAGGTGGTCAAAGTGCCGGTACACACAATACAATGCATTTCCGAAAATAATTCTTAAAATTGTCATATCTAAGTGGCATATCGAAACCTGTAATTTCAATTGACGTAAGGGCACTTTCAATTTATGCGTTTCTTGACGGCCTGCTGCGGGGCCGAAGCGGTGCGTTTGTCGTATAGCGTGTACGGACGATCCTTTTTTTTTTCATACAAAACGCGCGGTGCCGCAACTGTACGACAAACGCACCGCTTCGGCACCGCAGCAGGCCGTCAAGAAACGCATAAACTGAAAGCGCCCTAAAGCACATTTTGACCAAAATGAGCCAAATGAATGCCATCTTACTTTGTTTTTAAGCTATTGTATAGCTTTTATCGCGGGCTTTGAACACGGGGACCGAATCAAAAAAATCTGTAACGAAAAAACCTTGCGAGAGTGCATATACGAATAGAACACAATTTTCGCCATTCTAATATCAATCTAAACGGCGGAGTGTGTTAAATTTTTGCCACGGAACTAACGTTCGACGCATCACCACGGTCGTCGATTCAAATCCCGCACTCGTATTTTTTATTTTTAGTTATTATTTTTTTCATTTTTTTTATTTATTTGTTTTAGACCCCAGCACCTGTTCTTATTTTTATTTGTCTCCCTTTTAATTAGACTTTATAATTATAATTAAAATTTTTGGACTAAAGATGGTATACTGTGGAGCTTGTGGAAGTTTTTTGGCGCCGGGCAATGCTGTTGTTTGCTGTGCTTGCCCAATAAAATATAATAAGGCCTGCCTCGCCATCCCGGAAAAGTCGAGTGTCAGCAAGGACTGGATATGCACGAACTGCAAGAAGAGCACACGCAGGGGTGACAACCCGGTTGCTGTACGGGAACCTGTCGACCTGGCTAGGGGCTCTCCAAAGGAAGATGAGGTCCAGGGTAAGGCCAAGGAGAACGCCGCCAGAAATAATCACACCAGTGATATAAAAAGTATGCTGGCCGACTGCATGTAGGAGACGAGGGAATTCCGCTCAGAGATGGGGGCCTTTCGCAGTTCTTTTACCGCTCGACTTGACTCCTTCGAGTAGAAAGTTGCAGTGTTGGAGCAGCGTCAAGTGGATATTGATGCAACTGGTAGGATGGACTTGGAGTGCACCATATCCGAGCTGCGCGCCGAGGTTAACGACCGCGATCAGGAGGCGTTGATGTCCGACCTGGAGATCGGCGGGTTGCCCGAAGAGAGGTGCGTCAGCGTGGAGCAGAGAGTCACCATGCTGGCCGTGCGGCTGGGAGTGACTCTCGACAGGCTTGGTGTTCGCGGAGTGTGTGGGCCGACCGCGCCGTGTGGTGGTGCGCCTGGCGTGTGTGCGCCGCAGGATCACTGTTGTGGAGGGTCACAGATTCGGAGGACGGCGCCCCGGACACCGCTGATGAGGGTGGCCCACCGGCCACCGCCGTGGGGGGCGGCGCTCGGGTCTACATCGACGAGCGCCTCGCGCGCTAACCGCCAGCTTATATAACTTCAAGCAGACCCTGCCAGAATATCAGCACTGGCGCGACACAATGTCGTGACACCTAACGCTGAGGCAGGGTCCTGGTTAGCCCTTACTGTATGAGTTCCTTTTAACATGTTGTATTTTTTAAGGGCTTATAAAAATTATTTTCTGTCTTTCTTTCTTTTAACCCCCCCACTCCGTCATCGTGCATCGTCTAATGCCATTTCATTTCGGCAGACTTCGGCACTGTGTTTGTGTGCGTGCGACTAGACGTATGCGTGTAGACTAGCTGCTAACTGCTCATAACTGAGTCTATCTCTTTTAAACATAATGCTAGGTGAGACAGCGTGCTTTTTGCCCGCATCCACGAGTGAGTTCGAGCCCGCGACTCGTGCATGTATATGGTACGACTGTACGAAGCTCGCATGTAAGATTATAAAAATATTTTAAACAA